TTATTCTGGTTTTCAAATTGGACAACACCTTCTTTATAATCTGTAATTTATACAGTCATAACAACACAAATCAGGCCAAATCTATGTGCATACAATTATCTGAGAAACTTGATTTCTTAAAATCAAACTACAAGGGAGCCCACATGATTCTTGGAGGAGATTATAATGATGCTCCAGACGATCTTATAGATAGAGTACCAATAAGAACATCTCAACACTCACAATTTAAAAGCACTGCGTTTTTCTGTGAGCAACTTGCAGATATAGACGTATGGAGATTTTACCTGGAGCAATGCAAATAGATCTCTACAATCCAGAACTGACTTGTGGTTAATATCGTCTTCATGTTTGCATTCTGTTTCAGAATCTTCTCATGATTTTGCTCCATAAACTGATCACAAATTGATCACAATTCACGTAGTTGGAGTCAAAGTCAAAGTAATCTACGTGGTTTTTGGAAGCTAAATAATTTATTGAGTGATGATACATTTTGTAATATAGTGGAAAAAACGGCAGAATATTTGGGGATACCAATATGAATCACACACTAAAATGGGTATTTTTTAAATCAAGGTAAGAGAAGCAGCAATAAGCAAAGAAATAAAACAAACAAATGACTCTAAAGAAATCAGTATTATGAATGAATTAAACATATTCATGAAGAAAGATGCTCTTTCAGATTATTCAGAAATTAAATTGAAAAGACTAAAGGAAGAAATAGATAATGCATATATTAACATGCACTGTTCCAAAAAATAGTAATGTCAAAGTATCTTACTGTATATTTTACAGTTTTGTCTTTCTAGAATATCATTAAATTTAGTAGGCTGTGATTTCACATGTCAAAGGTAAAATAACATAACATCACTGTAAATATAGTAAAACACAATTTACTTGTTTTTAAATATATTTTTTGTACATGTGCATATTCAGATTGTAAAAATACATTCAGAAATGTATCAAATTTCACAAATATTTGTCTGTATGTGAGAGAATGATCTGTCAAATCCAAATGTAATACTATGGAAAAATATATAAAATGATCGAAAATTAATGAGAATAATCAATAATTAAAGGAGTATTTGAATTATAACATTTCATGTCATCCAGGTCTGATTCAATAATTCAGAGGTAACAAGTGAAAATATAATTAATAGGAATAAAAACATATAAAACTTTGCACGGCCACGCTGCGCTAATTATATATTTTAAAAATAAATGTAGAGGCAGGAATTGCAATTAATATAAATCTCAAAGTATTCACAACATTCCTGAACAGAAACAGGCCTCTGCACCTGGGGTGAGGGTGTGGCCATGAAAACAATGTGACATGCCATTGGATGTTGGGACACATAATAACGTGACGCTAAGCATCGGCCAATGAATGTGAACTAACAACCACAAGGTCGCGGGTATGGCTGCACTGTAGGAAAACATCCTGATATAAAAGTATTTTACTGCATTTCACAGTTTTGTTCTTCTAGAACATCATTAAAGTTACGTAGATAGACTGATTTCACATTTCAAATGTAAATTAACGTTAAACTGTAATGCAATAAAACATCATTTTCATGATTATTAAATGTATCTGTCTGTACATGAGCACATTTAGATTGTTAAAATAATTCACAAATGTATCCTGATTTCACAAATATCTGTCTGTTATTTGAAAGATCGAGCTGTTGAATTCAAATGTGATGCTATGGAAAACAACATGATTCCTATAAGCTTGTGTTACGTCACATAAGTATTATTATTATTGCTATTTAGGGCGATCGTGGCTCAAGTGTTGGCAGTTCGCCTTATGATCAGAAGGTTGCCGGTTCGAGCCCCGGCTCGGACACTCTCGGT